CAAACGGGTCCCAGTCTTTATGGGATCCCTTGAACTCAGTGCAGTTTTGGATTCTGGTTCCACCAGAAGCCTTGTGAATGAAGCTGTTTGCCAGAGACTTCAGATGACACCTTCAAAATCTTCCCTGAAACTTGTGGGAGCAAATGGGCTGCCACTTGAAAATAATGGAGAAGTGAGTGTCGACATTACGGTGGACGGTAGGTCATTCCGACAGACTTTTGTGGTTGTCCCACATTTAAAGGAAGACTTAGTCTTACTTGGAGATTACTTTCTACGCTCTTCAAAAGCATTTATCGACTGGGGTACAAACACGTTTTCGATCCAAGCCGAAAAACCACTCAAGGTTTATGCAACGACCACCCAAGTAGTACCGCCTCTTTCCCGGAAAGTCATCGAAGTCGTTTTGGATGTCCCAGACGGCGAGACAAGTCGCGATATCTTATACGTAACAGGTTCTCAATCAGCTATTGAACGGTACCTGTTGGAACTGCAACCGACAGTCATCGATGCAGGGACAAAGACTTTCAAACTTTTGGCTACAAACTTTTCCTTGAGGCCATCCAAAATACCTGCGAGGGCATCTTTAGGATCAGCAGAAAAGGTAGAAGCTGTTGAAGCGGTTGACTTGTCTCCCATCGAATGGGAATCAGTCCTGCAATGTTCCAGTTTTTCTGATCTTGAGAACCAGGAAGATGTGCCGAAAGTCCGCAAAGATAATAATTGATGAGTTGAGCTTCAACGTGGGAGCTTCGCTGAACTCCGAAGAGCTGGAGGCAGTAAAACAACTCTTGATGAAATATCGTTCTAGTTTTGCAACCGACACTGCACACCTGGGATCTTGTACGATAGAGAAACATTCCATTTCTACTGGTGGTGCAAAACCGATTGCACAATACCCAAGGCGAATTTCACCGGCTCAAAGAGATTTGGTGAAGGCAATGATAAAAGACCTAATGGATGCAAAAATTATCCAGCCCTCCAAAAGCTCCTGGGCATCACCACTGGTTCTAGTCCAAAAAAAGGACAAGTCAACAAGGATGTGTGTAGACTACAGGAAGCTAAATGCTGTAACTGAAAACGTTGTCTATCCACTACCACGAATCGATGATGCTCTGGCGGCATTGAGTGGGAGCAAGTATTTCTCAACATTGGACCTCCTTTCAGGATTCTACCAAATAGAGGTGGAACCTGGCGACACCGCTAAGACAGCTTTTGTTACGCAGTGGGGGCTGTATGAATTTCTGAGAATGCCGTTCGGGTTAAAAGGGGCACCGGCAACGTGTCAGCGAACTGTAGATGCCATTATCGGTGATCTAAAGTATCGCAACGCACTGGTCTACATGGACGACTGCATTGTTTATAGCACAACGTTCCAAGATCACCTTCGACAACTGGGAAATATTTTCGCGCGTTTTGAGGCCGCAAATCTCAAGTTCAAACCGCAGAAGTGCCATTTTTTTTGCACCAGAGTGACTTACCTTGGACATATTGTATCCCAGAAAGGTATTGCACCTGATCCAGAGAAAGTCGATGCCGTAACGCGATTCCCCGTTCCTAGAACTGCGGCTGAAGTTCAATCGTTCTTGGGACTGACGTCCTATTTCCGAAAGTTCATTTGGAACCATAGTGCCATCGCAGCCCCCTTGAGAAAGCTCCTGAAAAAAGAAGAAGCCTTCACATGGGGTGCTCCACAAGAACACGCTTTCCATGAACTGAAATCTGCCTTATGTGGACCTCCCGTCTTGAAGCACTTTTCAGAAGACTCTAAATACGGCCTCCAGGTCCACACTGATGCTTCCAGAACCGGCCTCGGCGCCATCCTCCTCCAGGAAGATGAAACTGGGGATTACAGGCCTGTTGTATACCTCAGCCGTTCTCTTCACGGAGCTGAAAAGAACTACACATCCACTGAACTTGAGGCCCTTGCAGTTAAGTGGTCCCTGGAACAGCTACGTCCCTACCTAATGGGCAGAAAGTTTCATGTTGTTACAGATCACCATGCGCTCTGCTGGGTTCTTCGTTACAAGGAGGGAAACCAACGCCTGCTCAGGTGGTCTCTCCTGCTCCAAGAATTCGACTTTGAAGTTGTGTACAAGTCTGGCGCATGTCACACTGCCCCCGATTGTCTGTCCCGTATTCCAAGCCGCTTCTGCTCAGGGGAACCTTCGAGTACCAACGGCTCGGGAGAGACTGGGAGGACCCGCACTTGCGATGTGTTTGAGGTCAAAGAGCCCAACTTAAGGGGGGACATGGGCCTAAATTTTAAATTTTTTTGAAAAAATTCATTTTTTAATTTTGAGGTTTTCAGTTTTAGAAACTAATTATACACCCTTACACCAAATTTGATGACCTTACGCCAAATAGTTACGTTGATATGAAATATTTTCAACTCATTGTGAGGCAGTAACAAAGTAAAGGAGTTCAATGTTTGAATGCATTTTTCTCAGTTCCACTTTTTGCTGCAAATTTCACACGAAGGAATCTTTTGTTTGAAGGTGAAAGTATTCTGTTACCACAATCAAGATGTTTCTGAACTGAAATTTACTCAGGAATCGGGCTATCTACTTTATTTTGTTTTAAGTTGAAGTCCTCAGTGAGAAAAAATTAAGTTTTCAAATATTGACAGATGACAGATATGCATCTCATAGTTTGAGGTAATAACTCTTCCTGAAATATTTACATTTAAGTTATTAAAACTAGATAGCCCGAGGTTCCATATTCCCCACTTTATATTCAAGCAGTCAAAATGGTGCTTAATAGCTTGATTTGCATATCATAGATTTCTTAATGAAAAGTGACACATCATCTTATGCAGGTATGCAAATTTGTCCTAGAGAGCTGAAAGTTTGCACAGTACACCTACATTTGAAGCAAAATCTCCCCTGCAAATTTCATTTCGATCAGTTGAGTAGTTTAAAAATTTTACCTCTAGCCAGTGTCCCCCCTTAACCTCCGAGCAGAAGGAGGACCCGTTCTGTACAAAAATCATAAAGATACTGCAGAAAAAGGCTGGTACAAAGAAACAGCAGAAGAGAGCAAGTAAACAATTCGTGCTTTTTCATGATGTATTGTACAAAAGGGATGCAGGACCAACGCATGAACGATTTGTTTTATGCTTGCCGGCGACGAAGCGAGCGGAAGTACTTCACGAATTTCATGGAAGTCGATTCGGAGCACACATGGGAATCCGTCGCACATACGAGAAAATCCACAGTAAATATTTCTGGCCTCGACAGTATCTGGATGTCCAACGGTTCGTGAAAAGCTGTGACCTCTGTCAACGGATGAAGATGACTACGACATGCCCTTACGGACTGCTGCAGCCAGTTGAAGTCGATGTGCCATTTCATACAGTTGGACTCGACATAATTGGGCCCTTCCAGGCTTCACGAAGGTACAAGTTTGTCATAGTTGCCATAGACTACCTAACCAAGTTTGTTGAGGCGAAAGCTGTTCGTAACATTGAGGCTTCCACGGTGCAGAAGTTCATCGAGAGGAGAATTATCCTCAAGCACGGATGCCCCACAGTACTAGTTACGGACAGGGGCACACAGATGACTGCCAGATCAACTTCCGATTACCTCAAGTACCGTGGTATACGTCACGCAACGACTACAGCTTATCACCCAGCTGCCAACGGCCTCGTCGAACGAGCCAACAAAACGCTCAAACAGATGATGCGAATCACCACCTCATCTGGAGAGAAGTGGGCTGATGTTTTGCCCTATATAGTGTTCTGCTATAACACAGGATATCAGGACACAGTTCGTACTTCTCCTTTTTTCCTTCTGTATGGACGTGACCCTGTTTTCCCCTTGGATGTGGCTTATAACAGGAAAGAGCTGCAAGAACTGCAAGCAAGCTCCGAATATGCGGTGCTCGTGCGTGAGCGCTTGAACGAAGCGCGTAGATTGGCCGCACGACACATCAAGTTGGCTCAGGAGAAGCAGAAGAGACTATTTGACGAACACCGAACTGACATAACGTTAGAACGAGACCAGTTGGTGCTGTTGAGGGCCCCGCCAGTGGGGCTTAAAAAACGGACAATGTACACTGGGCCTCATCGAGTTGTGGCCAAGCTATCGCCGGTGAATTATGAAATAGAGTTCGGTGATGGTTCAGGGCGGGACATTGTGCACGTAGAAAAACTGAAACCGTATCTAGAGCCTGTTGCAGAATTTTCACTCTCCTAAAACTGTTCAATAGAAGACCGTTTTATACTTGTACAGGAGTTGCAATTACCACGTGGGACGATTGTGTCGTGTCTGTACTTGAATGTTGTATTATATGTGTACAGGACTTGCAATTACCGCTTCGGACGATTGTGTTTTGCGTGGACTTGAATACTGTTTTATACTTGTACAGCACTTGCAACTATCGCGTGTTTTGTGTGTGCTTTAAGTGTCTTCATAACACCGGTTTCTTTGCGTGTTGTGCGCGTCGGGTCGACGCCTTTTTGAGGCGGCGGCATGTGACGGTGTCGCGTGAACGCTGGAAGAAAAGGAAAGGAAGAGGACGATCGAGCTGGAAAAGAAAAAGAATGTCACCACGCCTCAACGGAGCCGAACATTAAAAGAGATATTTCGACGACCAATCGAGCTTCGTCGCCGGCAAGCATAAAACAAATCGTTCATGCGTTGGTCCTGCATCCCTTTTGTACAATACATCATGAAAAAGCACGAATTGTTTACTTGCTCTCTTCTGCTGTTTCTTTGTACCAGCCTTTTTCTGCAGTATCTTTATGATTTTTGTACAGAACAAGTCCCCGTTCGGGCGCCAAGTGCGACGAAGCTCGATTGGTCGTCGAAATATCTCTTTTAATGTTCGGCTCCGTTGAGGCGTGGTGACATTCTTTTTCTTTTCCAGCTCGAACGTCCTCTTCCTTTCCTTTTCTTCCAGCATTCACGCGACACCGTCACAACGTGCAACATTGTCTTTCAATAGCCATTTCGGCTGGTTACACCAAACTAAGTGCCTGTGACTGTGGATTGTTCCGTCAGGTTCAGCGGAGCCGGTCACCTGCCTTAACCTGTACCAGGGCGAAGTGATATCTGGGACGTCCGCGAGCAAAGTGAACGTTCACTCGTCTATCGATCCCAAGGTAAGAGGATGCTCGCTCGTAACGTTTGTGTGAACAGATATAGTCAAGCCTGTTTAGGTGGAATTTTGATATAAATGGCACCCTGAACTTCCATATAAGGGGGAACTTGTTGACAAGGTAAAACTTTGTGAAACAGCACTTCGGAAGTGGTTTTGTCAACTGAGAGCGAGCTTCGATTTTATGTGTGATCTTCGGTAGGGGTTACCATAAACATCTGGATAAGTACCAACCAAAAGCAGAACAAGCCGTGACAAAATCTGCCTTTAGGCGGTTGCTTAGTCTAGGTTCTTAATGAATTTAAAATTATGAAATTGAAGGAAACCTAATGCTTTGACCTAGTGTGATAAACTCTCACTAAAGTAAAGTGTGCCTTAGTGCCAATGTAATGAATATACTGTAGTATCAAGAGAGATAGCCCACATAAAATCGGAAAATTGAAAAGTGCTAGTTTTAGGTTTGGTGAAATTTTGAAACTTGTGATCGCAGGTAGGATTGATGAACCAAATTTGACTGTCGTTCATAATCGGCCATGTTTGCTTATCTCCCGCCGTGGCTACGTAACACCAATTCTGCCGAGTTCAGCATTGGCAAAAGTGTAAAGCGTGAAAGACAAGGACAAGTGGAAGACTGCACACGACAAGCACTTACCCTCAACCGACGTTTTAATTCAGAGGAGGACAAAGACAAAGACATAAAACCCAAATGTTAAAAGCGTCTTGGTCCTCCTCCGAATTAAAACGTGTGTTTGGATTAAGTGCTTGTCGTGTGTAGTCTTTCACTTGTCCTAGTCTTTCGTGCTTTATATTTTTGTGTTATTTAACCAACTAGGTCAACAAATTATTTTGTTTCACCATTTGTCACAGTCCTGCAATTAAAAAAAGCACATCATGCCAAAAATTTTGGTGGGTTTTCTTTCGAGGGCGGGGCTCTCTTAGGATATTACACTATCTATGGGTAAGATCAAATGTTACGAGCCCTTTCTTGAACACTGCCTCGGAGAAAACTTTGTGCTGAAACTTTTCGTCTCGGCAATCTCTTCGTTTTGCGGAACAATCTTTTTGAGCGGCACGCGGTCGACATCCAGCCGTTTGGGGTTTATTACGAGCGAGCCCCGCCAAAGTCTAAGCCGCGGCTTTGGTGTTTCTGTCTCGACAGGCCTCCATCACGAGCACCAAGCTCCGCTCAGACGCATTCCGCGGCGTCCTTGCTTCAATGGCGGTACTTCCACTTAACAGGCTGCTACTACTTGGTGCTGACAACGGAAACATAACACTGCTTTGCTGATTGTGGAGGGGTTGTAGGTACATTGCTGCATCTGGTACATGCAAGGACATGTGATACTGACTGGCACTTGTGTTAAACCTTGATACACGTGACACCCGCCGGTATGTTTGGTGCTTTCTGGTTTGTGTGATAGTGCTTGGTACAGACAATGCCTGCTGGTACCCCTTGGTACAAGGAGCCGAATGGTACCTTTGGCATTTGAGTACAAGACTTATTTTGGAATTTGGTACTTGGGTGCCAACTGTACATACGGCAATTTTTAAGATACACGTATGGGTGTCGGCCGGTTTATACCGACGAGGCCACGCACAAAGCAGCGGAGACAATGAAACGGTAAAAGCATAAAGTTTTCTCAAAGGGATACTGAAAAGAAAAGGAATTTATACCGCATGTTCAAGATTATGTTAAATATGACCATTAATAAGTGTACATGATAATAACATGCTTGTATGTTAAACGGAATGCTGTATTTTTGTTCTAAATGCTCCATCGTGACGTATGTTCCTAAAAGCAGTCACCGAAGTGAGAGACCCATCTGGTGGAAATACATTATAGAATTTTTACATAAGTGCTATATAGTATACTTTGTGTAGTGATGTGCACAGCTTTCTACCTGTAACAAACTTGCAACTACCTTAGCAGAGCCAATGGACATTGGCACTTATACTGCCCTGCAAAACAGCTTCTCCTCAATGTAGCAGTGCACCGCGGGGAAGTGGTACAGCAAGGCACACTACTATTTATGAGTTGTGGTTGTTGAATTTGCTGGGTTGTTTCCAGTGCTTAAGAGCTGCATACTTTTTCATTGCAGCCCTGATTTTCGCCTAGTTTGCTTTATGATATGTGCTCTAATTTTTTTGAGTAAGCAGCATGTACTTAATTTTAGGGAGCTAGTCGAGCTGGTGACATTCCAGCTTGCCGTTCAGACGCTTATGTTAAGATTTTTTGTATAAATATTTTGTATAATACCCTGGCAGTCTTAAGATAGCAGGCCATTTCTTCAGCAACATTTCCATCAATGTGATGTGTCATATTTTGCCAGAGAGAAAATGCTCATGGACTATGTTGTGGTAAAAACTGTCTGTATACTATACTGAGATTGTTGGTTGCCCTTGACTATTCACATGATGCAGTTCATAACGGAAGTGTCAAGTTTTGGGGCAGTTTCAGTCAAAGCTAGCTGGCAATCAGTGTTAAAAATGAATGAAATCAGATTTTATTTAAATATACTTGCTTTGTTTTTGTTGTCTTGCCAAATGCTATATGACCAAACACTTTTTTTTTGTAAGAATTCCATTGCTGTTTTTCCTCAATGTTGGAAAGATGTCCTTTGATGTTTGAATGCCTTACTGCTAATGACCATTTGATGCTAGTATATTTTTGTGTAAAGTATTAAGTATATACAGTATTGCCTACTATACTGCATTTTCCTACAATGCAGTTAGGACCAATATGAAAACTAGCAGTAGGTATGCAGAGAATGGCATTATGTCCTTTGCACCAAAGAGATGTTTTGATGCAGTTGTAGTACCAACATGGTGCAAGTCACATTTTTTCATTGCGACTCTTGTACCGAGATGCGAAAGAAGTCAGTGTGGACGGCACTAGAGCAAGTACCACACAATTCCACTGGTACCTATTGCATTCTGCTTTCAGGTGCTGTCAGTAAATTCCAAAGAATTTGTATATGGTTGGTCTTTTTCTTTCTTTGTGCTGTTAACTATGTTCTATTGCCTTTATTTATGAGCAGATGACATTAGCTTAGTCTCGAGATTTTCGTCACAAAATAGATTTGGAACTTACGCAATGTTTCAACAGAAGTGTTCAAATACTCTATTTTTTTTGTTTCTAACTAGTTTTAGGTTACCATGATGATATTAACCGAGACTGGGGCAGAAGGACATTTTTTTGCAATTTAGCTTTAGGTGACTATATGCTTCCGACCATAGATTTCTGTGTAAACTTTCGTTTGATTAGAAATGCTCGTATGATTTACTTTTTTTTTGTTAATTTGCTCACTTTGTAAGGCGTATTAGTAGTACTAAACACGGAGATGGTGCATGCTATACATTTAAATCCGACTGTTTTGTCTTGTGACATTGTAAAGCTGAAACTGCGGTGTATGGCAAAAAAAATGCTGCCCCAAGATTTTGTGGTTAATTCCTTTAACTTGTAGATTCCAGGTTTTAATTATTTAGAGAAATATATTGGGTGTATAGAGAACTAACAAAAACAGGACCGATTTGTTTTGCACTTCGGAAAATAGTACACTGAGTTATAATGTGGATCTCAATAAAACCTTCAGAATCAGAAATGTAAACAGTGCTTAGCAAAAAACCACTTTATTCGTCTTGGCAGGCTCTCAACAATTTACCGCCTTCTACAATATGCAATCTTTGGTTGTACAATAGTACCATTAACATTCACCTCTGAACAGTTGGAAAGGGGCAATTAACTCATTAACTAGCATTTACACCTGTGATATGTACTGAGGGCTGTATGGGCACTTTAGTCAACAGCACAGAAGTACCAACAAGCACTCCCTTATTGCCCCAAAGTATATAATGCAATATTGGATCAAAAAGGTAGAACTATTTAGCTGCCCCATTTTTGTAACTTCAATAAAAGTATATAAAAGATGCGTTTCCATCAAAGCACAAAAGACAAGGCAAGCTTTTCCTGGAATGGATAAAAAGGGGAATTTCTCAGCATAACATTCGAAAGCGTAAAAATGCACTCTCATGAGTAAAATTTAACACAAAGCACATTTAGCTAACCAACAAAACAGTGAACACCAACAACTGAGCATGTGCTCTAAATGCAAAAGAATAGAAAGAAGTTGTGACTTATGGTTATTCACAAAGAACCCCCACTATAAACATACCTACTTTAACAAAAAAAAAAAATTTTAAATTATTGTTTTATTTGTATTTGTCTTCGAAGTATTGCACAGTCCTTCTATATTCTGATAAAGACATACCTCCATATATACTGTGTAAAAGGCATCCAAGGCTAGTTAAGAGAGAGTTTTGTTGGACAACTTTTTTTTTTAGTTTACAAAAAGCAGTTGGACCTGACTCAAAATCAAGAGCTACTAGTCGATAGCAAACTGTGCAGTAGGTTGCACTTTGAGAGATTCACAACTTTGGCAGTCACGTGCATGCCGATTCGCATTTTCTGCAAAGCGCCAAACAGACCCAGCCAAATTCGTCCTAGCTACATTTCAATGCTGATTATGTTTCCCGTCTCTCACCAACGACTAAAGCAACAAACTCTCTATTGCACTGTGTGACCCTCCGCATATGATTGGCGTCTTTTCTAAGCCACAGCAAAGACTGCTTTATATGCACGACTATTGCGTGTGGTCATAACACATTAGCTGATCTTTTAGCTCTGCCAAAATCACTCAACACCTATGATGACAACTATCGTAATAATGATAAGAATGTTCACAGTATGAAAACAACTGTACTATAATAATAGATTCTTGTTCACAGGCCACACATTGATGTGCAATTATTGAAAGTGCCAGTTCATGCCCGACCCATGACGTCGCACGACCAACATCATGAAGCTTCTTATTCAAGGGCACAACTCTTTACTATCACCGTGATTTCATCAGCATTGTTGCGCGATAATTCGACACTTACAGTTGTGCAATCACTATCGCTTTACATCATAGTGTAATCGGCGTTAGTTTCATCAGCACACATCATTACGAGAATTTCACGATCACATCAGCGTTCCTGGCCTTCTCCTATAACTTAACAATTTCGGTGATTATGTAGAGCATTATTCCTGCAATAACATGACCAGTTGTGATCACCGCATAATCATATCTGCATCTTTGTAACCATCAGTGCGATCATTCAACATTCAGGTCGAGCGATCTACGTACAGTACAATCAAGATTACAATATTTCTGGTAGAAACCCTGGCAAGGAACTGCTTACAAGCCAGTGATTACTTGCATGATCGTGCAATTAAAGTGGCACCATCTTACATTAGCTCAGCATAACTATGTACAATGACCAAGCAGCCACATTGATATCATCATAATTAGTGCACTTCAGTGACCAGTCACACTGAGAGAGCTATATTCCGCTCCATTTTAGAGGTGTACCGGAACGGACATCATGAGGCATGTTAACCGATCCAACGTGCGATGTGACTTCACCTGAACTCGTAGTGTCTGTTCCAGTACATTGAATGTGGAACGAGGCACATAGCATGGACTCAATGGTGTGTTGGCCTTCATAGAGACTTCATAAACTGGTTTCTTGAGAGATTGTGGAATAAAATGCACTTTTTTTAGTAGAAATATGACAGGATGAGTTCACCAGAGTAAAATGCGACAGAAAAAATTTTTCCTACACGCTAAGCCTAGCTCGCATGAAACCATAAAATGATATGGAGGGCCACAGTGGCATTTATTACGGCAAAATGTAGAAGATAAATTTTAAGCCATTTTTTGTTTCCTTTTCCTTCCACTAGTTTCAACATAATAAATGCCACAATGGCCCCCAATGTTCATTAATACATTCGCAAAAAAAAAAAAGCTTGGCATTTATTTATTAAAAGTGAGCAGTCCCATGGTAATCCACAGTACAGTCATAGCGACAGCCGAGACAAGTCACTGCGAAGTCATTAGGCATCGGCGTCATGTTCACGCCATTCGGAACAAAATAGACGTCTGACTATTTTATTCCGAACGCTTTTGTGTCTTCTACAGCGATAGGTATTATGGGCTCTTGCCACTACTGGAAATTACATCCATCGATGATGTAGTTAATGATGTTGTTGTAGTTGATGTTGTGGTCGTCGTAATAGGGCGTAGGGCGTCCATTGTCGCTCTTCTCGAATCCTCGAAAAACGCCGTCCGCAAGAATCGAACCTGGTTCCGCTGCATGCGAAGCGGAGGCCTTACCACAGGGCCACGCCAGAGCGTTAATAGCCTGTCTTACATATAACTTTTGTAGTGCGTGATGCCCACTGCACGCGCTCTCTGGAAAAACGCAAAGAAATAGCCAAACACAAAATGTTGCCATAGCACTGTCAATCCCCAAAACTTGTGCTAAAAATGCGCCCCCCCCCCCCGCCAAAAAAAGTCTTTACTTCGCTTTAACGCTTTCGTTCACGTACCTCACGGCTACATTCTTGGATCTATCAGTTGACAGGCTCCACAAAAGAATGGCATTCGAAGTCGGTTCTCAGTTTCCTGCCCGCGAGCAGGTGCAAGCGGAACTGCTCGCTTGGGGTCACGTAGTTCGTGGACCGCGTTTGCAATGCGAGCTACAAGGAGGCAACAAACACGTTGATCGCCTGCGAGCATCTCCGTCTTTCTGCCCGCTTTCCTCTTCACCACGCGACAATGCACAAGCGCGTGGTCGCAAGTGCATATGCACTGGCATGTGCACGGCAGGCAACCACCATTAAACTGCAAACGCTCCCTATGGTGTCAGATGGACCCTCTCTACAATCTAGGCTCCCTGCGGGTGGATAGTGCTCCTAGCACCACCAACGTCAATGCCTCCCTGAACAAAAAAAAAAAAAAGAATCTTTGAACGACGCCATTTTTGCACCAACTTTTGTGGAAACTTTACGTTTACCACAAAAACCCCAAACAGTATCCTTTTCCTTCGCATGTAATGTGCATCCACCGTTCCACCGGTTCCCCAGCTTCTGTCCATTGGGCGGGCTGGCAGTGTAGCGAATGCCACCAAGCGCACGTGCTACGAAAAGGCGCCAGGCATTTTAGGAAGCTTGTCAAATGACCGACCAAGTAACGTTGCCCCACGGTGGATGAACATGACGCAGATGCCCAACGACGTTGCCGTGATGTGTACGCAGCTGTCGCTGTACTGTAAGTTAACGCAGAACTGCTCTTTTTTTTTTTTTTTTCTTTTACGGAGTACATGAAAGCTCGTCTCTTGGCACAAGCTTTTGGCACTAACAGTGCTACAACAATACTTTGTTATTGGCTATTTCTTTTTCCAGAGTGCGTGCAGTGGGGATTGTGTGCTACAAACCCCACCCCCTCCCCCAAGTTTAAAGCGGGTTGTTGATACTGTGGTGTAGCTCAGTGTAAACTCCTCCGCTTCGCACGCAGCCGACCCATGTTCAATTTCGTCAATCTTTTTCGAGGATTTTGAAACATCGATGACGGACACCCTACAACGCCAGCTACAACATCAACAACTACAACATCTACAATGGACGTCAATTCCAGTGGTGGGAAAAACCCATAACAGCTATCGCCGTAAAAAAAAAAAAAGTTATTTTCGTCTTTCTTTTGATCAGGCCAAGCTCATATTTCCATACTCTCAAATAATAGTGCAGGCCCCTCTTTTAGCAGGTCGAATTGAGATACGTCAAGAAACCAATTTACGCGGTCCCCTCAAAGTGCCAACACACCGCCAGGACCACCCTGTAATGATATGCATTCGCACAAGGGTCACGCGATGAAGTCGTTTTTCGAGTCGGCCACAAGGCCAAATCTGGGAACTCCCCCACAAGGACCGGAGAGAGGACGTCGCCTCAGAGACTACCGAGGTTCGGAAACCTCTTGAGTTTCTCGGGAAAGTTGTCTTTGAAGAGCACGGGGTCGGCCCTGAACTCTATGGTCTTCAGCGGCATGCCCCCGAAGGCACGTGCAAACACGTTGACACACTCGGTGCGTGCGGCCATGTGCTGGAGGTCGTTGGACAGGTTGTCCAGGCGTGCACACTCGGGACACTTGAATTTCTTCCGGGGAGCCACCTTGATCGGCGCCTTGCCCGTGATGTTGGCGACCAGGAAGTTCATGGCAATGTCCTCGCAGTTCATGCGCTCGTCCACCCAGCGGCGGATGGACGTTGGCAGGCGCTCAAAATATTCGTAGCTGTAGTGCTGGAAAACGTCGCAGGAAGCGTGACCTTTTTGCACGCAAGAACCATCTCGTTCGCGTTGTTGCTTTAATTTGGCTCGTTCCTGCTGCGGTCGCCTCCTTTAAAATGGCGACGGCTTTTGCCGCCTCTTCTTCTCTCAAACTACATCTTGCTTTGCAAAATGTGCAATTCACTGGTGTATTTGTGTTTGATGCCGAAGGCAAAAAACAAACATGATGGCAAGCTGACGTGAATACGGAAGCAGAAATAAACTTGTTGGAAAGCAGAATTGAATAGAAAAGCAGACAACTGCTCGTTACCAGTTGTCACCGTCGATAATGTTATTCATCAGCAAAACCTCATTTTCACCTTTTCAACGTTTTACTCTGGTAACCGAAACAGTGTTTTCTTGTCCCATCCGCTAAGCCTAAATTCTGACAGAGTTGGAGCTTTTGACAATGCATGGTTCATTTATGCGGCGTCAAAAACACTCTTTGGTTTTCTCGCCAGAAATCTTATGTATAATATGTTTCAGAAGAACCGTATCAAACATATACAGTCGCTGACCGATTTTTTGGACGCCAATAATTCTGACTTGTTTGATATTTACAGCTAGAAGTCCGAAAGTTCAATTTTTGGGGCAGAACTGTTGCGAGCGATCAGAGGGAAACACCACCAAGAAGTGGCCATTTTGGATTCTACGTTGGTTGCACATGGATTGGCTTCGTTTGGCAGTGCTACTCGAGTACTGCTAAGTCCTACCGCTAGGTGACACTGTACGGCTTTTTTTTTTTCTCTAGCTGCACGTCATTATCATCATCATTGTTACAATCTTGCTTTGTTCATTCACCATTGGAGCCGTGGACTTGCGCCTCTTATTTCAATTTTGTCGCGGTGAATCGTGTTTTCAGACTACGCTGACTTGGACGTCATTGCTTCATCTGCTCTTCCGCCGCCGTGATGTGTCGCTAAGAAGCACAGAACGTACTCGACCATAACGCTACAAAAGAATGCAGCGATTCTCAAGCTAATAGGAAGTTGCCGAACGGAAACAGAGGCGTAGCCTGAAACAAGGCACACAGGTGTAACCTGAAGCGAGACACTATTTACTGCTTTTTTAAGCCCGCATAGACTTGATCAAGGCAAGTTTTTTAACCTGCTGATTTTTCGGACTGCTTTATTCTCCGGACGTTTTTTTGGTCCCTCCGAAGTCCGAAAAATTGTTTGGCGACTGTATACTAAAATATTAAGGTGGCTAGTTGGTTCAACATACTAACTATTGAAAGTGCAAAAGGCAGACAAGGACATAAATGGGAGGACATGGATATCACTGTCCTGTCTTTTTGTCGTCTGCCTTTTGCCCTTTAGATATTTAATTAACATGTTTATATTTAAATAACATATACTGTCGAGACCGGTTATAACGAAGCCAACGGGAATCGGAAATCACTTCGTTATATCCGCTATTTCGTTATAACCGACTTGGGTTAACGAAGTGCAAAAGGGAATGGGAAATAGTGATCGCTTCGCTGTAGCCGCTATTACGTTATAACCGACTTCGTTATAACCGGTGTTGACAGTAGGTAACAATAGATGGCACATGCACACAGCTGAATCCTTTAAATTGGGAGGCAGCTTGCACCTCCTAGCCAGCGTTACCGACATTGGCTAGATGGCCGAAGCCGCCACCCAATTGAAAAGTTTCAGTCGTTTGTATCCATCCATCCATACCCTTAGAAAATAACAGGAATGAGCTACAAACTTTACCTACCTTATGGTAGAATGCCGCTCCCGTGAGCACCATAGACACATCATTAGTCCATTCCGATTCATATTTCCATTGCTGTGTCCCATTGTCCCAAAGGTGGACACGGGAGGGGAAGCCAACGATGCGGTCTGGGAACTCTCGCCATACCTGCAGCGTGCCAACCCCCAAATTAGCAACAACGATGCTTACCAATGTCTTCAATCACTCTAGTGAATGATAACTAATGTCTTCAATCAGTCTAGCGAATGTTACCTAATCTACTCAATCACTCTAATGAATGTTAACTAGTATCTTAAATCATCCTAGTGAATGTTAACTAATGTCTTCAATCACTCTAATGAATGTTAACAACTGTCTTCAATCACTTTAGTGAATGTTAACTACCATATTTATTCAAAAATAAGTAGACCCTTTTATGAACAAGCCCGTGTATCCACCTTTCTGCAGAACTCACGGAGACCAATCATTAAAACTAATGAAGGCAGTTATTGAATGGCCAAGCAGAGATAACGTTTGGAATTTTAAAATATGTGATCCACACAAAACTCATTTCTGTGTTCCGACGTTATTGGTGCCCCGTCATTCGACGGGCCTCTTCAGTAAATCGCAATGATTGGCTCTTCTCGAGCGTTGCAGAAAAACGTACGCACAGGCATCGTTCATAAAGATGTTGACCTATATTTTCTAATTAATACGGTAATGTCTTCAATTACACTAGTGATTGTTAACCAATGTCTTCAATCACTATAGAGAGTGTTTCCATGTTTTCATTTACTCTGGTGAATGTCCACTGATGCTTTAATTAACTTTAGTGAAGGTATGCTGACGTTATCATTCACTTTAGTGAATGCTTACCTACACTTTCGTCAATTGTTGCAAATGCATACGAATATTTTCAATCATTCAAGCAACCGGAGTATGTACAAAAACACGCTGTTAGCACGAATGGCTGATTCCCTCGATTTCTCTCTTAGAATCAAAACCTGCGATCCAAACTTCTTTGACCCTGCTATTTTGCGTCTTCCCCTTTTTCTCTGATGCACACTCTCGTTCTCTTCCCTTCTGCGCCATTTCCCACTGTACGTACAAAAACGCTCGATTGGACGCGAGCGCCGTGTCAGCACTTGGCCGATACTGAGGTGTTTCGGCCCGAAGCCGATGCACCATTCGAGCTCTCGTCCGTCGCAGTGGTGCGTAATGAGAAGCGGGTATGGTTGCCGACAAGGGAGAATGGCAGGACGCGTCCTTCGAATGCCTGACCCCCGGCGTATGCTTCGTGCCTTCCAACGTGCTTTCGCTGCGTACACTCGAGACTTCAAAACGTCATCAGAGGTAGGAAGCCTGCACCGGGGGCGGGACAGCCAAAGCCCCTCCCCGCTGTTCTCACCTTGTCGGCGATTACAGTAGCCAGCCATATACAGCATAAACCCATTATAACAGACCTCGATAAAGACAAAGATTTTGGTCAGTCGTAAAAGGAGTATTCGGAGCACGGATGCTCTTACCACAGACTCTAAAGTAGATTACGACCAAAGTCTGTTCTAACCGACGAGACTGACAAAATGAGAATGGATATTAAATAAAAGAACCGGTTTACTGAAGCTTGCAAACTTTCAAAGGTAGCAATTGTTTTTCTCGGGCCATACCGACGGTCGTTTATGACGCGCATTTTGGGTCGTGTGAGGCTCCAAAGGTGCCAAGCACGACGTGGTTCCGCAAGATGGGTGCCGCCGCCACCGAACCATAGCCGCACAATGTCCAAAATAATTGCCGCCGTCGAAGAGTCTGCTTTAACGAAAAGGTTAACTACTTACAAACTTCATAATATTTGTCCATTATATCCTAACGTATCTTATAATGGAATTCATAATAAGCAAAGTTGGATCAATGGCATAAATAGGAAGACCAACCAAACTTCACAAATCAGCATATCATAACCAAACATCCGCTGTAACCAGACCTGTCGTAACGAGGTTATACGGTCGAGGACTGTTCACGCACCTCGGAACTGTGTTTCACTAGAGCAAAGGTTTTGCGGTATTCGCGTGATCAAATGTATACTACTACTCATGAGAAATTAACAAACAGAAGGTTAGGGTGCAAATGAGCTGTTGATGGTTGAACGTCATCCACTAACACTCCGTTTGTCGGCCCCCTCTCGTCCCGGGGTTTTGGTCAATGATGTACAAAAAATTGTTGTTTATAACATTGTCAAAAACATTTCCCTGCCAAAAAAAAAAAAAAAAAGAATGGTGCGCACAAAAAGAAAAAACGGGAAATACATGAAATTCCCAGCGTGCTCTCTCATCATAAGAGGTTATAAGGCAGTCGCAAGTGCGCGAACCAGCCTTTACACGATCAGTGTCAAAACCAACCTCAAACCCAAACTCGAGCTCGTCTGACGTGAGCATGAGGATGTCGTCGTCGATTGCCAGCACCGCCTCGGTCTCGATGTCCTTGTACGGGTAGAACCGATTGCTCAGCTTGTTGGCCTTGGTGCGGATCACCTTGAGGGGTTTGTTCAGCTTGGGCCAAGCAGACGCTGTGACGTGACAAAGCGCAGAAACAACGGACGTGACAAAGCGCAGGGACAACGAGAGACCATAAACGTTTTACGAAAGATGCGTCTAGCCACGGCGCCCAGAACACGTGCCCGAATGGTGCATTTAACGCATCCTCGTCTTTGATCCTTTGATGGCTGCCCGACGACTTCGCAGAAGTGTCACGTCGCCGCCTACTGCAATCCTGGCAAGAGGCACGACGGCGGAAGCGGATGTGGCAGACGCTCGTAATCACGCCAGTCGAATATGCATTTCAGGCATCGTGGTCCAGCTACCCAATAGTGTTTATGCGGTAGAACCTTATTAATAAGAATGGGTACGCACCCTTCAAATTAAAGCAATAACAAAGTGCTGTTACAAGGAAATGCTTACATGGCGGTGGGGACTTGCGCTGGTTGTTCCAGACGACGACCACCTTGACTAAGCTGGGGACCTGCGCAGGGTTGCTACGGCTTTACAGAAGCCGGACCAAATTTCCGTGTATCGCGCGAGATACGAGAAAGGCAATTGATATTAAAAATGAGGTATCGCAGGAGACGCTAGAAGTAAGGTATCGTACAAGATACCAGAAATAAGATGTCGTACGAGGTAGCAGCAACCTATACAAAATACCAGAAATAAGATATCACGAGTCACCAGAAATAAGATACCTTAAGCATTATAACCGCTCCATGTACAAATCACATTTAGTCGACTGAGATACATTGATTAGAAATGTCTCACCTGAGTGAGCTGCTGGACCACCTTGAACAGACTGTTGACCCTGTCGTAGGTAAGCACCACCGCGGTGAAACCCCGACTCCGAGGTGCCACAAAGGGAAAGGCAAAGGGTGCAGGTGGCAAAAGCTGCACATGTGAAGGGCACAGAAATTGCGTCGACAAATACTCAGATAATTATCCCAATTAGTGCAGTTAATTAGGACACAAAACACGGTTCACAATCGATTAGCTGCATATTGGGCAGAATCTCACGAGTCATTGAGTTTTCTCTGCACTGTCGCTCTGCAATGCAGAGAAGTAAATTAAGCTCGAGAACTGGGCTAGTTAGTATTCGTTATGCGTGATATGGTTTAAACGGTGCACGAAACATGGACGGAGGGGAAGCGACAACCAACAAGGAACAGTGCTTTCTTTGCATTGCACAGCTGCAATAAGGAGAAGCACAGGAGACTTCACCCAACATGCAGCTTCGAATTTCCAAAACTCCAAATGGCATTTTATACATAGACTATTCCAGAAATACACTATAAAAGAAGCTCACTCCAGGCGGCAGGTCGTTCCAGTCCTCATAAGTCTTTGCGATGTGCGGGAAGACGCGGTCGTTGATGACATCCAGAGTGGTGAGGGCAATTTTCGCCATGCTGCGGAAGTAGCGGTCCCACAGCAGAAGAGCCTGGCTCCTCATCTCAAAAAGCCTTGCCTTAGAGACACCCTTGAGGACCGTCACCAAGTCCTCGAGGTCATCTTCGCGGATCTGTATAGCAGCCCTGCACAAGGGGAATGCAAGTTCAACTCTTCTTTGCACCGTGGTAATTTTAGAGTCCTCAGCACGATTCTTCAATAGGCGAGTGAAGACTAACTGTCAACACGTTCAAATCGAGGTAAAATTTCCTCTCCGACAATCGGAACATGTTGCCAGGCATCCTTTGTTTCTATGCCGTCGGAACATTTCTGCATTGTCTCGCAGTGTATCTGCATCTCATTTCTGCTCCCAATAGATACATTTTGCCTTCTGTCACAGATAGCTGTCATTTTTAAAGCCGTTGACACGTCTTTTACTCAGACGTAATACTGGCTCTCTGATAAAAACCGGAGTCGCAAGTATGACGCATCATAAAACGAAAACAAATGGGGATTACGAAACGCAATGTACAGACAAAGTTTAACAATACGAAGGGCGTAAACTGGCATAAACAAAAGCCTAAGTAGCAAGCTGTCTTACCGCTTCCAATCCAGTACTTCGGAGAAAGGCAGGATGTACTCGTCTGCCACGATGACTGGAACACAGCCAGCCATGAGAGCGTCGGACAGCACGCTTTGCCCGAGCCGGGCAGCTCGAACCACGAGGCAAAACTTGCCTTCCTGGAATTTGTTTATTAAGCCATTCATTGGATAACTTCAATAATGTTAATGCTGCTACGCAACAACTGCAAGCATGTAGTAGCAAAGTTAGAAGCTCACCAAGCATGTCACATAGCTCCTAGTACATTGCTTGAGCTAGTGCCTGGGAAATTCAAGAAGGCAGTATGTGATATATCCGATAGCGGCAGCAGCTGTACGTAATTACAACCCGAAGACAATATTTATGGTGGTGGTTGGGCCAATCGAGAAGACATGGATTGACTAATCGTCAAGCCCGATTCGTCCGACGGCAACGAAGGTAATAGCAATGGATGTATTGCAAATCAAGATGATATACTGATGATCTGGTGACCTGAAAAGCTAGGTCTTCCGGTGATGTTGGCTACCGATACGAGGCTTCCTGGTTTCTTTTCCGATTCTTGATACCAGTTCTGACCACCTTCATGCTTTGTTTGTGAATCTTGCATAGATTCCATTCACTCGGGGAAGTCGCGACGTGACAGCATGGGTAAAGCAACTCTGGGAGCATGTGGGTTCCTGAATGCATTGGGTCGAGATTAAGTTTGAGTTCACGCCGATGGCACAGAAGTGGGACTGATTGAACTTGTAAACGTGACTAATAACCAAACCCTGAGGTAGTGGTTCTGAAACACTTATCGGAGAACCCTTCTGGACAGGGTGGGAGGGGAGAATTGGACAATTATTACAATGACAAAGAGGTAAATGAAGACAGCTAAATGTGGGCAAACCGGCCTTGAAACCCTGAAACGGAAAATAATCAACCCTACTTGCTCAAGGCACATAATTTGGTCTATTTAGCCTTGTGAGACAGTCAGCATCGGTAAAAAAAAAAAAAAAAGTATTGACAGTCTAGCGCTTTTGGGACCCCAAGAAGGCCTTCAGGGACTCTAGAGGATCTGCAGATACAAACTTGAGAACCACTGCCCTAAGGCCACTTTACATGAATGCCAATGGGACAATGTTTTCAGAGGTTATGTTTCTTATGTCAGCTGGGAGTAGTGTGTGAACAGTGATGTGTCTGTTGCATATCTGTTCGTTATGCAAGCCAACTTGCCAAGAGAACTAAGCACTCACAGCGAGTATGTCGGGGGTACTTGTACAAGGTGTCGCCGCGGCACCGCACCCCGGTGTTCTCGCCGTCCCACGGGCGCCCGCAAGTGCTGAGGTTCAGGACGCCCGGGTGGACGGCCGCAAGCGACGCCACCTCTGAGCGGAACTCGAAATGGATGCGTGTCTGGGACGACACCACCAGCCAGGGACGCTCGACCCTGGAACGCCAGAAGGGGAACTATATAATGCTCCATCCACCGATAAGCAGACAGGGAGGCGGAAGGTACGTGCTTGTTAGACCAGTCGACCGTCAGTCTTGCACTACGCGATCGCGCTTTCTGCACAAATTATTGTGCAAGAGAAAGGATAGATGAGAGAGTCGGGCAACAAAAGGCAGGAGAGTGATTGGTTTGGCGAGAACTGAGCTTTCACCGCTGTCGCCTTAGTGATGAACGGAATACTCACTACGGTTACTCATTCAACCAATCGAGACACAGTAAATGCGCATTAGCTATTCCTCAGCACTCGAGGTTTACGTTGCCAGAACTTTCCAAAATGTAGCTTGCTTCTCGAGACATGCCTACAAAAATATTTGAGGATAAGGACACCTAACACTACTACGTCCTTCCATATGAGCTATTGGCAGTGCTGCATACGGCTCACGAGATCATGCATAGGCACCACCTTGTTCCTGTGCACTTGCAGACTAACGGGATATTGTTTGAAATGGTTGAAATTAATAAACGGTAAACTTTAAGCTTTATAATTACATTGTAATTAGTATCACAATCATGTGATTCCGTGGCCGACACTCCCACGAGTATGAAGGCCCGTTCACACAATTGCGTTCGCTTTCAACCGAGCTCTTGCGATCTCTAATGACGAGAGCATGCTGGCATTATCTAAGAGATGACCCTGGAACTACATGTCACTAGAGTGAAATGCAGTTCCAAGGGTGTCCTCAAAGAGACACGAGAGGTCACCTTCTCTGTGACGCTTCGTCCAAGCTGGGCCTTGCTGGGTTGAAGACCGGGATGCCAAGGTCGTGGGACCTCCGGAAGGTCCAGGAGTCGAAGCCACCCCCCGCCACGAGGGCACGGCCAGTGTTCACCTCCAGGGAGGTGGCGTACTCTGGCAGCGACCCGGGGAGCATGTTGAACAGGAGGTGGTTGGAGCCGTTGTTCCAGCTGCACAGGCCAATCAATCGGAATGAGATGTTTCCGAAACGAAAAACAAAGCGCATTTGTCTCGAATTGCTTCCTCCTGTCCTGTCCCTTTGAGCATTGTTTTTCACCGATCACCAACTAGCCCCAACTTACAGCTGAGATGCTTCCATTCATGCATTCATGCTTTTGTGGAAGGGACGCTGATGCCTCGAGAAAAGGAGCTATTTTTTCACAGAAAACACTATACCGATAGACAGAAACACCAATAGAAAGATGAAAACACTAAACAGATCGAGAGAAAAACTAGATACCTAGTTGGACAGGAACACTAAATGGATAGATAGAAAAACTAGATAGATAGAAACACCAAATACACAGTAGAAACACTGGATATATAACTGGAAACACTAGATAGACAGATGAAAACAGTAAACAGAAACTGATAGAAACACTAGAGATAGAAACAGTAAAGAGACAGGTAGAAACAGTAGATGGAACTAGACAGACAGATAGAAACAACGAAACGACAGAAAGTCGAAAGACGAAACGACAGATAGACAGACAGATAGAAACAACGAAACGAAACGAAACGATGTAGGAATTGGCACCAGAGGATCAGTGCAATGCAATGTAACGCTGAAGCGTACGAAAGTCGCAAGGAGTCAATCTGCACGACTATCCACTCAGTTACTTATTTCATCCATAATAAAAAATATGTGCCTTCGAGAAACCTTTATACCTTTCACTGTCGACCAGGTTTGTCCGTTATTATTAGGCAGACATAGCAGGTGGTGACACTCACTGCGGCAGAGACTGCAGTACCCGGGAGAGTGCCTTGCGATTCAGGTTTCGCTGGTTGAGGGTGTCGATGGAAGGCACAAAGACGCAGGCCCTGGCTGCGTCCTTGGTGTAGTATGGGGAATGCTGAATCGCCTCCAAGAGCTCCATGAACTCTCTGGAGGCCTGCCGCACCAGCTGCTTCCCGTGCTCGTCCACATAGCTGCGGGGAAACTTTGATGCTCAGACAAGCACAGAAGGCATTTTGCATGCCTAAGATTCCAGGTTCAATTGCTGCGCTTGCGGTGTAAACGATTCAACTGAACCTCTTGCAAAACGTGCAGTGCCCTTCACGGTGCCGAAAGAAATTCTGGGAACTGGCTGTAGCCCCTGAAACCAATGCAGTGGCAGGCGACGGAGGCAACACAGGGGCAGGATAGCAACTATGCCGTCAATAGCACAGTATGTCTTTTTTAATGCTTAACTCGCCAGCCACTTACAGAGACGCCAAAGCAACTACAACCATGCAGTGTGGTGCAACATGCAGTGTGGTAAATTTGGCCATTATTCTTTCCCACTTTCTCACTCTTCAGTGTCACATAGCAGACGCTGCTGGAGCACACAGGAAGTTCCCATAATTTGTTGTGCGCTTTGCATGCAACCTTTATGACTTTTGCAAATGGTTGTTTCACACCTTTTCAGATAGTGTATCCACAATCTGAAAGAAGTGTGCTGCCATTCTCACTATATCAGTGAGTATACATAGCTTGCATGTCACGTCATTCACGGCCATGACAGTATTTTATGCGCCGAGAGCGTTCAGTTCACCGCGTTAGTTTCACACCGTAGAAGTTGTAGTTCAAAGAACCCAGTAAGTAGAACTAACCGTTAGTACCCAGCAATGGCGGCGCTTGCAAGCTATATATTGGTAGTGCTACGGATGATGATGATATTGAAGACGAGACCACAATGCAAGGGTGGTTACACTCACTTGAAAATGGGGTAGATATAGACCCCGATCCGCCCGCTCTCGTGGCCGCACTGGTATACGTCAAAGCAGGTGTAGTAGGTGCACGACTCGTCCCTCGGCTCCGACCCGGGGCTATCCGACGGCACCACCACGCGGGGGGAGGACTCGAGCAACCTGGGCACAAACTCTGTCTCCAACTTCGGAGTCCGCCAGGGGAGGAGCAAGAAGAAGGCGGCGCCACCTCCCAAGACGAGGAGCAACGCAAACGTGAGCACGGATCCAGCGTTGAGGACACCTGTCAGGCTGCTCCGTGGACTGCACGACGATTTCATGCTGGCCGGGTGCCACGGGTGAACCACTGAAAGTTCAGGAAAGGAAGAAAAAAAAAAAGATTTCAAACAGGTCACTTTGTTGAAGTTGTGGCTAAGCTAAGGAGGTGTCCCCATTTTCCTCCTAAGACGAGGAGTAACGCTGGAGGGGTGTCCCCTCGCAGAACTTCAACATAGATTTCTCTTGGAGCTGTAACAAGGCTAGAACGGTGTCTTAACAGAACTTCAACACAGAGCTCTATTGAAGTTGTAATAACGCCAGGGGCGTATCCTCGACACGACTCTCCACGACTCTTGCCGAGAACGATTTCGCGCCCCACAGGAACGCAAAAAGGGCTCGCACCCGAACGTTAATCCGCTTTGCGTGCGCGCCTAGAGAGCGGAAAATCGTTCCCTACAAAAAACCAAAGGGACTCCTGTAGGACATCCCAAAATGTGCTCATCAATCAAGAGGAGGGTCTTGATTGATGAGCACATTGACTGATTACAGCAGAGATGAAGAGTTGTTAGCTGGTCACATTGGATGAGTTGTATCTTCTACCGATTTTAAAGTTAGGGAACAAGATTGTTTAAAGGTGGCATTGATGGGAAACAACGTAGACGCAAGATGGCATTACGTCAAGAGCCGCCGATTTCGGTTTCTCAAAGTAGAGGTAGTTTGGTGCGGTGTTCGAGATTACCTGGCGCTTGATACGACTGTGGATTGTACTTGACAATGTGGTTACGTTAATTATCGGTCTATTATTCTTTAAAGCGTCACCAAAAATTATCGAGATTAGAAAGTTTTACGCGAGAAATTGCTTACCGACATCGACGAAACGATGTGGATTCACCCGCTGTGACTGTTACAGCCGTGTTCGTATGAGCGGTATAAGCACTAACTTCGTATGATATTTTTTGGTAGTATGCTGCAGTAGTTAAAAAAATGCGAGTGGAGCTAAACTACATAATGAGTATAATAATTTTATGTTTTAATTATTAAGCGTATGACTGCGTTTATGAGTCAGGTGAAATGCGTAACTGTTGTTTTATTGCTGTGTTGATGGCCGGTTTCCGTATTGCACGCTCGCACTGAAAAACATGGCGATGGATTTTAACGATGTGTTGGATGATATTGTGCTCTCGGAAAATAAGTAAGTACAGTTTTTTTTCCCCCGTATTTCTCAGTTATTGACCTCTTGCTTCTTCTTTAGGAGAGTGCTGAACATTTTAAGAGGCCGTTTTTATATTTTGTGGGCTCAAATATGTGCACGTCCAGCGCGAATCATACCCCAGATTTGTATTCGTTCAGTCGGAAGTATGTTTGGGCCGCGACAGAAGATTTCGTTTTAGTGCGTGCTATGAACGAAGTAGTTTGATTAATGATAAACTGGACTAACGCCTTGCATTTCGGAGGCCCACAGTATTATGGAACCTTGCAAAAATATGAATGAGAAAATTAATAAACGCTATGCTGGCTCGAACACCGGAGCAGTTTCATGGAATTTCGAATACGAAAAACGAATATTTCTCGTTCAAAAAAATATTGTGATTAAAAAAGGGACATTCCTTCCACTCCCTGTTCGTTGTATGCTTTGAGTCGTGTTTTGATGTATACGTTGCAAAGGTGGTGTTTTCTTTTGCGTTTTCTTTTTCTTTTGACCGTTTTCCTAAAAGTTTTTCTGATCTAAAAGTTTTCAGTGCTAGACGTCTGATCGGCAGGATACGATGGAATTCCCGAGGTGGGTTGATTCCTCCTTAAACGCTCACAAACGGATAGAGAGAAAGAGAGAGAAAAGAAAAGTGTTTATATGTTTTTGACACCCTTCAACAAGCATGCAAATAATAATTAGAAGAAAAAAGAAGACTTAAGAAAATTTTAAGCTTGCAATTTTCGAATGCAGTTTCCATGAGCTGCAAGTGTTGTGTGTGTGTAACTGACTTTTTTTTTTAATTATACTTTTATGGAAAAAATTACTGAATTTTACTTTTGAGGAATTTACTGTTTTTGAAAATTTTATCTTATTTGCTCAGCATTGCGTCCGACAAAACTCGGCATAGAAACTAAAACCGCAGTGGATTTTATGGTAACATTTATCTTCAATCAGATTTATTGAATCAAGTTAAACAAAATTTGAAAATTGACAAAGAAAAAAAAAAGGGGTTTGGGGGGGGGGGGGGGGGGGGGGCACAATAGCAAACAAACACCCACACACACAAAAATCGAATCAGTTCTACAAAAAAAATTCATGCTTAATATCACTTGTTTTTTTTGTTTTTTTTTTTATAAATATAATGGACAAAACGTTCTCAGATTCCTTCTATAATGCTTTTGTAGCTCTTTTGGTAGCCTCTTGACGTGAGTGAACTATCACATGAATGGGGAAAAATTGTGAGAGTATTATTGAAGTAGCCGATATAAATCTAAGGGTTGTGTATGAGCCTGTCATTTTTCTTCGAATGCAATAAACCAGGGCACGTCACCCAAAACCAAAGCACAGCTATTCGGAGGAAGGGCCACCCATTGAGGCCAGGTAATTGTCTAACCGTACTTGGCTACTTTCGTGGTGTCGGGTTTTGCACCGTGTAATGTTACCATGGCACACGAATTGGACTGAAATGCACATTGGCTGGCCCTCTGGCACTCTGGCACTACCTCAAGCTTTCTGTCATTCGAGACTTTAGGCATTGCCGCTGCTATGAAGAGGCATTGCCTCTTCTTGTTCTGTAGCTGTGTTTGACTGAGTATTACTCCTGACTATGCCGTGTTGAGTTGCAATTCAAGTTGTGAGGGTGCATCAATAGTCTAGGTGTTTTGACATCTCAATGGAGAACATAGTTTTGGTTTGTGGCTTGGTTTGGTATGTGGTTTGTGGATGTCACTCTAGTTTTGTAAAGGGCTGTCAGGCAGCATTGCATATGTGAATGTAACTCAAACATAATAACTTTAAGAATCATGAAGGGATGCCAACGTGCCAGATGAATGTCGCCCGTGCCTTTCATTTCGTTTCGTCCCTAGCTAGATAGTGACGGTGTTTCTGACGCATGTAAACATTTCTGCCTGTGGCTGTATCCTGCATGATCTACTGTGGTCGCAAATATAAGCCTTTTACCCCATGACCCCTTTGATTTGTAAAGGAAAGCTTTGGGGAAACTCAAGAGCAGTCAAAACTCTGGATGCTGTAAAAAATTGCTAAATCCAACCTGCTTTTAAAAAAAACAAAAAACAAATGTTAATGCATTGGTGGGAACACTTTTTTGGTCACCTGTGAAATGTTTGACCTTTAATCAGTTCTTGTGCAGTTGTCGTGGTAGTATGTTCTGGTCAAAGTGAGCCGTGAAAACTTCTGTGAATGAGTCTGGAACAAAATGAGAATTTCCACTAGAGCACACAAGCATATGTGGCAGTGGTGTTCACTCTCTCTTCTAGAGTTTCGGTGACAGCTTTGGTGTTGTTTGCACTGCATTTTAAGCTAGTTTTGCAACCAGCTTTCTTAGAGATGAAATTTTGGATTTGTAATTGAGAAACGAGATGGAAAAGGCTGGAATAATAATGGTCACAGCGGCAGCTGATGCTCCATAACATGTTGTCTGCTAGTATTGCTGGATTATGAAAGTAGTCATTCGGGTTTCTCTGCTGCAGGGAGATTGTGTTGTTTTGAAAGGCTATGTTAGGCCCTGGTCTTTATCCTTTTGAGTGGGGCATTCCAAACATTGCTTTGTAATGCTCTTGGTTTTATTGTACTTTACCATTTATGTCCAGTGGTTGTACTTTCATTTCACTATATAATATAGGAAGAATAGCAATATTTTTTTTTGTTTCACTTTTTCACAATATAACATTGCACTTACTTTTTATTCAGAATGAAATATATGCACATTCTTTGCGCTTAGTTTGTGGATATTGTTGTCATTGGGAAGTTATATTAAAAGTCCCACATTTGTATATTTGCTTTGTTTGATGTTTGGCTTTGATATTGTTTTTCTACATTATGTTAAGTTTGCAGGGGTTGCACATTTGCGTGTTCACTTTGTTTGTTAATCTAGCTCTTTAATTGCTATTCCTGTTTCTGTTTGCAATATATCTATGGGGTTATGCATGTGTATGTTTGATTTGTTGTTCAATTACTTGAACCTTTGACAATTTTTTTTTTTTTTGCTTGTGTATTTCTGTGTTGCTGTTTCTTTGTGACTTTGGTAGATTTGGTGGTAATTTAGTTGCATAAATAGCTTTTCCTATGCTCTTTCATTTCACCATTAAGTTTTTTTTTTGCATTTATTTGATGAACTAGTGAAAATTAAATGTGCTACCAGATCAGATTGGTTAAAGTCAATAAATGCAATATATATATTTTTAATTTTATTCTGTTCTGTTGTTTCTTATTCATAGTTTATGCTTGTACTATTTTCAGATACCACAGTAACATCTGTTTTATAAGAATTATTATTAACCATATCACTGACCCCTTGAAAGTTCTAAACTACCATTGAGTTGACAAATTCAAAAACCTCTGCTTAAAAAAGAAAAAAAAAAGAAAAAGGACCTTTTTGGCATATTGCTGAAACAGTTATTCCACATTTGTTCTAAGTCCCAACAATTGAGTGCATGCTCATGGGTCAAATATAGGAAGTGCAGCTTTGTTCTTTTTTCACGCATCTAATGGAAGTGTTTAAGACAATGCTTTGAACTGCTTGGCACTTTGTACGTCTTACAGGGCACACAACTTAGGCTAAGCTGTGCTCTGCAGTTGGACTGTCACTTCCCAAAAGCGCTAGAGCTTTGTTCTAGCTGTAGCATAAAGGGTGATGGAACAAAAAGACATTATTTTGCTTGTTTTAAAAACTTTGATCATATGTCACTCAATTCAGCTTTGGAGGGCTATTCTGTGTTCTTAAAACACCATACCCTTACATTTTTTGCCTTGCTGTGCCTGGTGGTCTAACTGTGCATGCAGACGTGTGTGCACTGCTTGTGTATTTTTTGTATGTAGAACATGTTTCTGCACAATTCCTTTTTGTTATTTTGTGAAAATCTTATCCTCTGCATTTTTGGCAGACTCGTCACTGACAACTTTTTTTCTCCAACACAATTTCTCTCCATTATATAGCCTTATGGGCTTCTATTCGTAATGTCTTGTTGATTCAAAATTAAGTATTCTAAGCCAGTATTCTTTTCTTTTTTGATGGTGAAACAAAATTTAATAACTACTTTTTGACACCCACATTTTTTGGGGCTTGCCGGACATTTTTTTGGGTACAATTTTTGTACTGCCACCCGTTTTGCGGCAGCTACGCTGCCCTCATAGTCTTAATTTTGCTTTCTATCACACTGGTGCATGTTTCTCACTCAGTTGTCTATCTCTCTTCACGCTTTCTCTCTCTGCACCTCACCTTCCAACCTTTGCCTTCTTCCCTCACCCTCCACAACATTCGCTCCATTTATCTGGCCTGTTCTCACTGTCCCTAACCCCACTTTGCTAACACATCACTTGTACACCATTATCTCTGTGCCAAATCTGTCAATTCCAATCCCATATATATTAAAACGTGATTCCAATCCCAAATATATTGAAATATTGAAACATGACTCGCCTGTCTCCTGCTGATGCCATCTGGTCCTGCGTCTTCGAACCTCCACCTTGTGCCATCTAATGAAACCTTTGCCTCCATCTAATGAAACCTTTGCCTCCATCTAATAATACCATACTAATCCTCTTTGCATTTATTAATCACATCCCTTTTAACATATCCTTTGTGTACCGTCTCTGTTAAACCTCACATTTATTTGACCCCAACTTTAAAACTTTTTTGTCCCGTTGTCTGACTCTCCACTAACCCCTTTGATGGGTTATCTCAACTTCCCATTTTCATATTAATTGTTTACTTTTCCTAATTTCTGTTTATGATTTTTTATTACCTTCATTTTTATCTTACTGCCCCTTATTTATTATAAAACGGACAAACCTTGCCTTTTTTGTGACTTTGTTTCCACTTATTTTTATTCTGTGTTTCCTTGGTTCCACTCGTCCTTACCATTTTGGTTGTGCTTCAACATCTGTGGCCCTCATGTCCCTACGTGGCCCAACTCTGCTCGATTCCTAATCCCTAACTCCAAACCCTGAATATTTACCCTCTGTATATTTGCTCCCAACACACAAATCCCGACTTGAAATCCTGATCATTAACCTCTGAACACCAACTCTAACACCAAACCCTGAATGTTTGCCACCTATATCTTTGCTCCTGAACACTGACCCCAACCCCAAACCCTGAACATCTACCTTTTTATCCTCAACTCCAAACACTTGACATTTACCCCTGAACGCTAACCCTAACTTCAAACCCTGAACATTACCCTGACTGCTAAAACTAACTCTTACCCCTGAACATCTACCCCCTGTAACCTTTCTCCTGAACACTAACCCCAACTTTAAACCCTGAACTTTACCCCTGTATGCTTACCCTAACTCCAAACCTTCAACATTTACCCCCCTGTATCCTGGCTCTAACCCTAACTTCGAACCTTGAAAATCTAACCCCTTAACCCTTGCCCCAAACACAAACCTTAACTTCAACTCCTGCTAACCCTATCTCCAAATCGCGCTCACTCGAACTCCAAATCCTGATCCTCATGACCCTCCTCTGACTTACCCTAACCCTGAGCCCAGACCTAGGGTCTATCCCAAACCCCGACACAGCAACTCGGAGGAAGGACCTGCACCTGGAGATCAGAGGTACGACTGGGGTCGTCAGTCAGTGCACTCGTCCTGCTCAGCCCCCGCCGGGCCGTCTCTGAATGTGTTTATGCATCGCTCTGCGTATTGCACCTTTGCCTAATGAGAAGCTGCATTACGCATCTCATGGAGACTGAGCGACGCAGGGGGCCATTTGGTGTGCAGCCGTCCTCCACAGCCTCGACTTTAATTTTGTGTTTGGAGTGTTGAGGTTCCGAAAAATTTCTTAGTTGTGTTTAGTTTTCTGGAGTGGAAGGAATGCAGATTGGTTTTGCTGCGAGAAAAAGACTGGTGCCTTTCTTTTGGTGGTCATAAATTTTTTTCCGTTCCAAATGGGCAGCTGAATAGTTTTTATGACTGGAGTGCACCGCTTACCTCTGTTTTTAGATGTAATGTCAATCGAATCGGGAGCGTGCACAGTAGGCAGTCCACACTGCCTTAGTATGGGGTTATGCACTGCCATCTGTTGATCATCTTTTAGTCATGGAGTCATAATTTACATCAGTTGCCACTGCTACTAGCTGCACAAATTGAACAGCCGGGAGACTGAAAGACAACATGAATCGGAATGCTAGCTCGTTTTACTGGGATAAACTCTGAATTTTGTTTGAAGTAAACACTTTGTGTAGCCCTTGAATTTGTTGAACTCTAAGACGCGGTAACGAGTAGGTTCAGTTATATTAGCTTAGTCTTATGCACGCCGACAGCTGCAGCGTGGGCAAAGTGCCCACGCTGATTGTGCTTTGAATGTTTCTACTATGCATTGCCCATTGTCGCTTTACAGTTGGGACGTTTCAGCGTTGTCATGCAAGTCCCATGAAAATGCCGTAACAATCTTGTGATGACAGATGTGGATTATAGAGGCCGGACATTTTATGCATGCATAATAGTCCCTTTTCAAAAGTTCATGGAGCAGCACAACACTAACGGCCAGCACATCTCGGTCATCGCTTCCTTGGAGCGTGTGATTGGATCCGAGTTCATGCCGATCGCTGGCGCAGCACTCGTGTCGAATAGCTCTGCACTCGAGTATGCGCCAAATGTTGATGCCGCATTCGTGCACATGCGTAAATGTGGGCCCAAAATATGACTACCTCAAAGGAGTTCCTGGAGGGTGCTCACTTTTGAAATAGGTCTATTAGCACCAAGAGCCTCCCCATCGCCACACATGGAGAATGATGAAATGTTTATGTAACATTAAGAAGAAAAAAAAAAATTGCAGTGAAACTGAGAGATTAGTCATCGAATGAGGAGGAGAAAATGTTCCCAAAGCTCCATTTCTCATCCCCTGCATGACTTTTTTTTCATTGTCTCTTAGTTAAACATTAGTATTCCAAAGCTCGGTATGGGTTGTGGTTGCAAACCTGTGCATATGTCTCTTGATTGTGCACATGGACGACTTTCGGTTAGAGTTTTAATTGGTTCATATGTTTGGATGCCCTAGCATCCGGCTTTGAGAGCCCCGAGTGTGTGAAGCGTGTGCTGCATGTGTGGGTGCCTTGTCCCGGTCAGGTACCGACAGATGGGCTTCACGCGGGGTTTCAGCCTCGGAGAGGAGGTGGGCTGGAGGGACGGCTACCAGCTGGGACTGCAGAGAGGCGCACAGATCGCCACCGAGGTACTGTCTTCTCTCGGCCTTGTTTGGTCTTGTGCAGGGTTTTGTACAAGTGGTGCCTTAATTGGTGCCAAATTTAACTCCGATTTAGCGCTGTTTCCTCCTCTCGCCGCTAAGGTTTCCTTCCGACGACTTCCAATACCTTGAGGCAGCTCGTCACAGCGAGATCAGTTTTATAAGATTCCTTGCTGGCAATAGAAGCAGGTTGGTGACGAGCCTAATTCCATCGGTTGTCGCAGCACGGTAGCTTCTTAACGAAAAAGACAATATTTGTGGTATTGGGAGAAAACTGGTGCTTCGTCGGTGTACTTTGCACATGTCATAAAGCATGCCGATCTTAAACCAGAATTAGTCACTGGAATTGTAAGCGCCGTAAAGCACCCTTGCAATGTTTCCAGTACGAAACATGAGATGGTGCTGCTGAAACCACCCACCTCTGCCACATCGGCACTGTGTTAGCAAGTGATGCATCAATGCTAAGGTCAAGCTGTTTTCGGAGTTGAATTGGCACCTAATTTGGGTCGCACTGTGCGTCTGAACTGGCCTTAAAGGCTGACCTGCAGAATCCTCTTCTGTTGGAAAGAAAACCGGTTCCCAGTTTCCGTCTTTCTCGAATGGAAAGGGGGAATCGAGGGAGAGTTTTCCCCTTTCTGCCTGTTCGTCGGCCTTTAAGGCCGGGTTTCTCAAGCTTTTTGGTCTTGAGGAACGCCTATCTTTTTCAATGGATAGCCAATGATCCCCTTTAGCCGCTGGCATTGATGCCATGAAGTGGCGCAGAAGTCTACAGACCTTGTAAACAATACCATACTCGTTATGGTCACAGACAGGATGAGGACGGCAGGGCCTTTCTCTCGGATGCCTGGCTTCAAACATGCGCTCATTGCCTTCTATCGTGCTTTGGCTGGGCGTGCACGCCTGAGGCTCGCAAGTCGCTAAGATGTTGTCAAAGGCAGAGAGCTCACACTGGATTAGGCGGGACAACCGAAAGACCTCTCTGCCGTTCTCATCCTGGCGGGGGAGTGTTCGGCACGTTGTTATGCGTCAGTGGAGAGCTCAGATCTTCGAATATGGCACTTGGATTGGAAGAAAATTTTTTTTATGTATGGCCGAGGAATGTTAGGGGCTCTGAAAGTCTCCGAGGGTAAAGGGGGGGGGGGGTCTTCATGAACCTGTTTTGAGAACCAGTGCGGTGGAAGTTCTTATTCCAACCCGTCTCGCAGCTCGTTATGACTTTCCTCAAAGATAATTACAGTTGTGCCCGTAGCTAACTGCGCCAGTTGTTTCAATCGTGTTGATTACTCGGTTATTGGAGCCGTTAGCTGTTAGCTGTGCTGGAGTTGTAGATGAGGTGGAAGAGCGATTTGTGCAATGCTTAGGTTCTGGGAAACGTGTAACCGTGGGTGTCGGTCGCTTACATATCAGTTCTGTCTTGCGTGGTAGGCATTCTGTGAAAACTCGTATGCATTCGTCATGTGTGAGGCCACTCTTGATAGGGAGTGGGCTTTTGTCTTCAACAAGCTCGATACATTTTTTGTGCGGCATACTTTCTTCCAGCTTGGCTTCTACCAAGGCTTTGTCCATGCCTGGATAACAGTGCTGGAACGAGAAGAAATTGCAAAGCAGAGGTGGGTGCTTCTCGCATTTCGTATGTGCAGGTGTTTAGCTCTCCTGTTTATTTGCAATTTCCGCCGTATCGATGAAGCAATGAACTTAAATAGAAAAGAAAATCCGCCCTACTTAGGGAAAGGCTTCTGTGTTTCTCTGGGTTTTCGTACTAAAGCAAGCAATGCTTTTGTTGGGGCTTAAGTTAAATCCCGAAAGTTGACAGAGACAAATTTTTTCGTTTGCAGGAGTTTGGTGCGAGCCTAAGCTTTTATTCTTTTAACTACCTAAATTGATGTTTGCATCTCCTCTCCAGGAAAATGGTGGCCCTAAAAGCGCTGCTGGAGATGACGAAGAACTTTCCCAAGGTCAACATCGCAGACGACGACATGTTTGAAAAACTGCACAAAATTAGGGCAAAGTTTAAGCAGGTAAGTAAACAGACAGGTAATTTCAAAATAGGTTTTGTAAAGGGTTTAACTTTATTCTGAGAAATAGTGTCTCTGGCTCGCTGTGTAAGGTGTTAGCGCAAGAAGCTTGGATTTTTAAGACGGCTTCAACTTGTGCTCAAGTAGAACTCTTTTTCAGTTCGTATACCAGAGGCGCACTTGATATTTGTAACTATATAAATGGCTAAATTTTGTGGATGGACCATATCTTCATGTTGTGGTTTAATGAGGTATCCCATACTTCATCTCGCCCAAAAATAGACTAACTGCAAAGACGACGAGCATGAACGGGTAGCTTTGACGGGGGGGGGGCTGCTGCCGCACGAGCGTTTGTGCAGCCAAGGCACTATCGAACTTGAGGAGCTCGCTCTTGTAACCCTGGCGGTCAGCCTACGTAAAGGCAAGACAAAGTTCAGAATTGCAGTAGTTATGTATGGAAGTACTATGTGTTAAACAAAATAGATTAGATGAATACGAGGCTGCGCCTATTTTGTGGCGGCAAAACGTCAAAATATACACTAAAGGTTGTGGGGATTGTGATCCCTCAACATTCTGTCGCGTCAGCGTTTTGGCGCGCCGTGGCGGCCGCGCCGACGTAGCGAGAGGTGGCGCTGCTTACCACTGTGAGCTAGAGTTCCTGTATAGGCTCCCTACGGGAGCCAGAGTTGCGCATTTGTTTTCCCCGCGCCGCCACGCCGCTATTCGCCGAGATCCATCACGTGAGGAGCAAAGCATCCGTTGGCGTGCAAGAAAGCCACCTTTACGGTCGCTCCGCCGACGTTTCTCTTGCCCGGCGTATGTTTCCCTGCTCTCCGCCTCCTTTTCCTCCTCTCCTGTTTTCCATGCGCGGCGGCGCGCGCGGCGCCGCTATTCGCCAAATTTAGTCACGTGAGGAGCAAAGCATCCAGCTCGTGCGGGAAAGCCGGCGCTACGGCCACGCGCCGAGGCTGAATGCGCAACTCTGCTACCGTAGGTAGCTATGCAGGAACTCTACTGTGAGCGGCTTCCTCCTCTCCCCCTTGGGGCGATTTCCGTAACGGACTCCCGCACAAAGGAGATCGACGTGTCGCTCCTTGATTGGCCACTTCGCCCCCGCCGTGATCTTAAAACCAGCGGACAGGAGTCTCGCTGCGTCTTCTTCCTGGGATTCGGTGGCGGCGACAACGGGGAACCTTCCGGCGCAGCGGTGAGCGTTTACCCCGTACTTTGTACATTTGTGAACGACCGTTCGGCCGTGGGCGATCTCCACACCGACGGCGTTCACCAGCTTATAGCCGCTGTTTTGTTGTTATTTTGTTTCATTGTAAATAAACAGTTTATCACCGTTACCAACGTGACTGGTGTCTGTTTGCGCTCAACGAGCAGCATGCCACGCGAGTACGAACCCGCTTCGCGGTAGAGCGTCTCGCCGCGAACGTGGTACTCCCAAAGCGGGTTCGTACTCGCGTGGCATGCTGCTCGTTGAGCGCAAACAGACACCAGTCACGTTGGTAACGGTGATAAACTGTTTATTTACAATGAAACAAAATAACAACAAAACAGCGGCTATAAGCTGGTGAACGCCGTCGGTGTGGAGATCGCCCACGGCCGAACGGTCGTTCACAAATGTACAAAGGACGGGGTAAACGCTCACCGGTGCGCCGGAAGGTTCCCCGTTGTCGCCGCCGCCGAATCCCAGGAAGACGAGGGGAGCGAGACTGCTGTCCGCTGGTTTTAAGATAACGGCGGGGGCGAAGTGGCCAATCAAGGAGCGACACGTCGATCTCCTTTGTGCGGGGGTCCGTTACGGAAAATCGCCCCAAGGGGGGGAGAGGAGGAAGCCACTCACAGTGGTAAGCAGCGCCACCTCTCGCTACGCCAGCGCGGCCGCCACGGCGCGCCAAAACGCTGACGCGACAGAATGTTGAGGGATCACAATCCCCACAAGGTCGACGTTTTCAGCCCACCGGCGCATGGTGGTCAGTATCAGACACGTGATGTTGTCTACGTCATGCCACTTGGAAATTCAACCTTTCTCTATGCTGTCTCGTCTCACGCTGTACATTGTCGCACACTAGACGTACATGCAGGAGGTTCTGCTACAATCGTTGTGACCTTTGTTAACTTTATGAAGCTGTGCCCGTGCCACCTTGGTGGCCTAGGTGCTTCTCCGGTGAGTAGGTGTCAAGCACAGTGCATCACAGCACAGGACAGTGCACCAAGCACAGTGGGTGCAGAGATAGAACATGTTTTACCTCTGCGTCGGCGCAGGAACATTATCGGTTGCGTCGGGACGCCGGGCTGCAGGGGGTTTGGTTCTTACAGACGTGACGTTGCCATGCTGCAAGCTCACATTAAGTTGAAGTACCTATAAAGAAGCCTCGAGGGATGAGTGTGTGCGGGTGTGCACTTTTTGCTCTCTACTAAATACCGGCATTTCTTTCTTCCGCAATCGCATCTAGGTGGTGTCCATTCTTAACATCGGCACCCAAGATGCTGAACCACACCCCGAAGAGGACCACTCATCCCCGCGACCCGAGATGTCCTTCTGATGACCCCGGTCTGCCGGGGGTCCCACGCATCAGCAAGAGGTCGTCCCCACGGTTTCCACTCCTCCAGCCGCCACTGTGGTCAGCCCTACGGGCAGTCCGGCGCTCACTCCGACGATCACAGTGGTGACTTCGACAGGCACTGTCGAAAGCATCGCCGTTGACGAGAGGGAGCCTGCAGCACCACCAAATCCATCCGCAGCATCGCGGGAGGTGCCCACAGCATCATCGAAGGTGCCTGCGGCATTGCCGAGGTCATCGGCGCCACCAAAGGCATCTGCAGCACCACCAAGGGCACCGTCGCCAATGCTGTCATCGTCCCCGAACGCTCAAAGGGAGACAGACCAGAGCGACGTGCGCGCTAATCCCGCCACCAGAATGAACCAGCACCGACGGAGCCGGCGTCGCTCACGTGCACGCTTCTCACGGTGTTCGCTTGTCTGAGCCGGTTAGCCCAACGTCGCGCTTGAGTGCATTCTCGGTATTCTGGGCGGTGTCAGTAGTTGGATTACTCCCTATTTGCGAGAAAGACGTTCACGACATGTTTGTCGTAGAAGGTGCAGAACATCTTTTGAAGCAGCTGATTGAAACAGTGGAGTGCTTTCCGTGTGGTACAGAAGCGGGCGCGCTTGTGTTTACGTTTGTTGCCTGCTTGGGGGGCCTTTCGTGAGACTCCGATTTGGATCCGGTGCGCGTCCCGACGGTATGTGGGACTCAAAAGAAAAGGATTTGGCCATTTACATTCTAATAATACATTGAACGGTTTATGGTATTGGAAATCCGAACAAATCCCAGGGGTAGTCAAAGCCCATAAAAGACAACTTGGAAAAAAACAAAAAAACCTTGACGGCTAAGAGTGGCAGTGGACACCTTTTTGCCACTCTGAGGTTGCTGTCTCTTACGTAATGACTTACAGAAGGCTGGTTCTGAAGTTTACATGTGTGAGGAGGTTACCAGGAATCCATACTCTTGATTGGTTTCGATATTCATCATGCCTTCCCTTTTTCATGTAATCACAATTGTTCACCTGCATTTCCGCAATGTTTTGCATCAGCCAAATTGCTACAGTACCGGAACAGTTTCAGGGAAATTAACACTGCCTGTCCCGTTTGTTCACTGTAGTGTCGACTTCCTGCTCTGTGGTTGCAGGCATTCTGGAAAGGGCAATGTTGCATCAAAATATTGCAGCTATGTTGAGTGAGACTGCTGCACCGCCGTTGTGTTTAGAGTGTTGTGGTACTGTCACAATTGGACTGTTGCAATGCCGTTGCGACGAAACTGTAGCGATAGCATTGCAACAGCTTGTATGGCGGCTGACCAGTGTGTCTCGTTTGCACCATGTAATGTCACAGAAACATGATGATGTTCACTCCTACATTGACACATTGCACTTTTTACATTTACACTGATGCACTGTCAATTTTTGCATATTTATAAGGGCTAGTTGAAGGCCTCAAAACTGTGTCTGTATACTAAGAGGTGAGCAGGCTAAACTGTAAGCATTTTTGATGGCATGAACTTGGTGTAGCAGGAATGCAACACTTGATAAATAGTGCTTGTACAATTGAACGTTGGGGGCAGCAGCTTGTAAGGCAATTTTCATGAGCTCTTTAATGTGGCATTCATTATAGGGTATGCTCATAAAACATATAAACTGTGTTGTGACTTTATAGCTGGTTGCTAAATTGTATGTGGGCATTTAGCTACATGTTGTAGCAAGAGATGATAAAGACTTAGCAGTGGGTAAGGTACAACCTTGGTGTAATAGGAGGGCAATGTTAGAAACATTTGGTCAATATATTATGTGTCTGTTGTGATTTATTTCAGTCTGCCATTTATGGCAAGAGACTAAGGCATACCTCTTCCTGGTGGATTACTGCTGATTTCATAAACGTGTAAGCACATTTCGAGAATCATTGCTGAGGAAGATTTTTATTGATGCTGTGTGCAACACAATGCAGTACAAAAATGCATCATTATCCATCAGTAAGTTAGACTAATCACCAGGTATGTGATGAAAATGTCAGCCATTAGCTTCATCCTACTGTATATGGCCTAGAAGCCACTAGTTTGAATCTTCAGTTTCGGTACTCTTCGAGAGCTAGGGAACCAGAGCCGTTCTGTATCCAGAAACATTTCAGCCTTATGTAGACTGGCAAGGCTGAATGAAATCATCACCTGCATTTAAATCTGTAGCCCATATACAAATGCATATGCATGAAGTGAGATGACAAGGTTTTATTTTGACATGACTTGGCAAGAGTCCTGCCTATTTCAAACTGGAATGATTTGTACTGAGTCTGCACACAAAAGAAAAGATGGCACCACGACTGCCGCCTGCGAGTCATGAGTTATACCATCAAATTTTTGTTCTCTGCTTTCTATTTTGTCACTTTTGAAAGGTGCCATCTTTACGTCAGCTCATGGGTCTATCCTCTTCTAAACATCTCAATGTACTGATGTTTCTGCTTTGAATTTTACATGATGTGCATGGTGGCTGTGTTTGTTGGGGCTCTAGGTAGAATTGTCAAACACAAAGTTAGAGTCGAAGGTTTGTGGTGCACGCCAATTTGACTTTGATGACAAAAGCGCAGCGCGAATGTCGCGAGAGTCCAATCGGCGCGCTGCGTTAAAGGGCAACTCCCATCAATATTTTTAAATTTGGGATTACGACTGTTTTTAGCTAAAGCAGTGTCCCTAAACTACAAGGTATAATTTTTTTTTTTTTCAATATTGTGTGTTTTTTTATAGATATCATGGGCTCAAAGTTTGGTTTCGGGCGTCTACAACAAAACAGAAACTACCTGCTACAGGGATGGCAACACTGATCATCAGCCGTACTGCCGTGACATGACATCACAAGGGTGCTGCGATGCACGGTACAACCAATCGACTGCTGTTGCACTGCAACGAAACGTCGCAAGGGTGCTGTGCCAGTGTTCCTTGACTAAAGGTTAGCCCACTTGCCGCCCGCTAAAACACAGCTGGTCACATCTTTAAAATGGTTTTAGTGGAGTTTGTGGCTTCACTTTGACGTAATATTTCAGCTGTGATCATATTGCGTGCCACTAAAGCAATACCAGTAATTTATTTTGGTTTCATTTTCGACCAGAGTTCCCCTTTAACTTTGGCCCCAACCTTGTGTTTGACGACTCTAGGGCCCCTGGAAATAGTAATGCAACTTCTTGCAAGGATGCAGCACTTCCCAGTTTCTGCTGTTGTGCAGTGGACAGACTTGTCACTCTGTGGTGTTTACACTGATCATTTGGGGACCTTGTGCATGATCAGTGCATCACTGCCAATGGGGTTAGGCAGCTTTTCTAATTACTGAACGTGTGTACAAAAACATAAATGACGGCTTTTGTGTAGAAGGGGCCACTGCCTTTTTACGGTGTTATGGACTGTGGCTGGTTAAGCTGAATTTAGATTGTAAGCTTGACTTAACATTGCCACGCTGCTGAGGTGGCTTCAAGGCAGGCTGACCGCAGAATCACAAAAAAGGCAGGTGCCGCAGCAGGGTTGTGGTTAGTTGAGGAATGGTTTGACACCATTGTAGCAGGTTTCTGTTTGAAATTATGGTGGTCGAGTTCTGTGTTGGAATGGCTTAGAACTGTGGTACAGATGTGTGTCTAGAAGGGATTTTGAATTCTGTCACGGTTTTGAAGCTTGATTCAGGGGAAGAATGTTAGCATCACATGGTTAATCGTCAGAGGAAAAATCTTTTACTGTTGTTGGTTCCAGCACATTGTTGGAAACATATATTGTGTGTATTCTGATGACTCGTGTTCATTTGCAAGAGTATTTTCTCCAAATTAACTTTGACACATTGCTTACCAGAAACTTACCTAATTTTCAAGGTTTTTTTTCTTCAACATGTTATAACACTGGTGTTGGATCAGATTGTAAGTTATTGTTTGAAGATGAAAGGATGTTTCTGACGTGTTTATACCTTTTAGCTATAGCTTCGCAATGTAGAGAGAATCAGTTCCAGCATACTTATTAGTTAGCAAGTCAACGGAAGTAAAGACGTGAAACTTGAGCTCAAACCGATTTTGTTTTTAATGCACTTATCCCAAGAAAACCAGTTCCGTGATCAAGCAGAGTTTTTATGTCCCTGCGGTGTGCCAAGATTGCAGTTTTTGTTGTTGAAAATGGGTGTAAGCTATGGGTAAGGTAATACTAGCTCTCATGACTGAATCTTATTGCCTTAATAATGTATGTTGACTTCTGCTCATAGCATGTGGTATATGCATGGCATATGCATGTTAGATGTGACACTCCCTTCATTCTTTACGTGAAATCAGTTATTACTTTTCCTAAATTAAGCTTCAAAGCATTGCACTTTCTTAACTTGGCTTTTGTTGTCACTTATTGGTGGCTTTGCAGTACTCGTTGTCATGATACCTATGATCTGAGAACGGTATTTTGCAGGGCTTACTAAATCGATGAGAAGTATTTAAATTTACGTCCGAACTCATAATTTCGATTCGTAAACACGACTTATTGTTGTCTGGCGATTGTTTCCGAAAAATCGGGCTTCAAAACATCGAGCAGCGCTGAACAAATATTGTGTGTTCGAAACCAAATTTTAGCAGTCTTACAAAACAAATACGAATAAAATAAAAAAAATCTTAAAATAATTAGCTTTTTTTTTTTTGCTTTTTATTTGTATGGTTAGTTTGGTCAAAGTTAGTTTCAGGACTCAAAGCGTATCGGGTAAGGATAAGAAGAATTTTGTTTATCTAGATAGAACGACGTTTCTACGTTCGAATATGTGTGAGGAGGAAAGTTAATAGCTGGTTAGCTACTTTCTCCTGCACCTATGAAGATATTAATTTTTAATCTTATTTCTTTTTTTTTGGGGGGGGGGGGGGGGGGGTAAAGGCGGATCTGGCCAATGATTTGTTTGCATATTGGGCTGTGTTAGAGCTGTGGAGTAATCCTCTGCAAAGTACATATCTTGTTTGGGAGCTCCACAAATACGATTTAGCCAATGTTTAATTTCGTAACTTGCACATTTTTCTCGCGGGGAAGAAAAAAAGGCGCTGTCTGGAGTGTGTGACATATCTTTTTTCCCCTATTGAATTTGCGTATGGGGAGAACAAGTTCGGGTCTACTTCTTTTGCATGGGTCGTGGTGGCGTCAGAACGCCAAACTCTGATTGGCTCTGACTGAAATAGTGGGTAGACCTCAAAGCAAGCTGCCTTGAGGGCTATCCACTATCCTTCAATCAGAGCTTGGCTCTCTGACGCCACCACAGCCCCTGAAAAAGAAGCAGACCCGAACTTGCGCTGCGCATTGGTAGAGCAAAAATGTTTTCCCACTATTAAAGAAAACTTGGAAGGGGTAATCGGTAGTCAGGATCTAAGAGGCACCTGAACGCTTATCAATGAATCGCATCAGTTATTTAATCTTGTTAAATGAATCGATAATGCACGTCTACTTCACACAGCACGTAGTGAATCAACAGCTGTGATTTACGAAGCGCCTCCAGTGAAGGATGGCGCAGCACAATCTACGCAGTGACAATGACCATGAAGCTGTATTCGCGGATTGTCCCTGCGGTGAATCGCGTTTTCGCGGGAAAGCTCCTTTGTCTCGTCATTCGCTGAGACCCGCTGCATAAATCGCTGTGATTGGTCGACCCCGTGCTTTGCCGGAAAGTAGACACAACCATTTCTCAGAGCAAAAGTCGCATAGACGACTCATTTGACATATAATAAACAAACATGACGAGGGAACGGTCTTGTATGATTTCTGTTATGCTATTAAACTAGAATGCTAGTAAACTAAAGTCGTTCAACTTTCGCAAAGTTATCATGCAAGCCCTTAATATTTACCAGATTATAAAGTTACTAGCCGTTTCGCTCAATCTACTGAAATATTGTTCACCAATTAAGTTTTGTTTGCTTGTGAACAGATTGAACTTCCCAGTTTCCACAAAACGATGGATACAAGATAATTTGCGAGTCATAGGTTCACGGCTTGGTCAATTTCATGTTGTCGGTTGTTACTTAGAATAGTGAAGAAATATGTTCCTTAAATTTTGTAATGAATTAACAAAGGGACTCTATGGCAAACAATTTATAATAAAAGAACTGCAGGAGAAACTTCACCCCGAATTCCCACGGAGAGTTGGCTTCACCACGGTGTAATAAGAAGGGTGTCTGAACGAGGGCACCTGAAGGCCCGTTCACACACTTGCAACCGAGTACGACCGAGACCTCTTAAAACTTCTTAGGACGAGAGAACTCGCTGGCGCCATCTATGCGGTGACCCTGCAACTGCATTTCACAAGAACAAAGGTTTTGCGGGATTTCTGAGGTCAAATGTGCGTAATACCTATGAGAAAGGCTCGTTAATAACGTTGACAAAAGTTTTTTCGAGCCAAGAAAGAAGGGATGACGCGCGAGAGAAATAGAAAATACACCGGACCGCCCACTTTACACTGCTACCGAATGTCCGCATTATTTGTACACCAGAAAACAAAACTTCGCCCAATTTTTAAAGCGGTTTGGGCATTGAGCGGAGTGATGCCTTTTGAAGACAGGAATTCTACTCAACTTCATTTTGCAACAGACCGTGGGATAATAGTTTCTTCGATGTTGATGACATGGACTGCAAAAGGAGCTGCATCACTGTCATTACTTGTTGTTTAGAGTTTGAGCCTTAATTCTGCTTTCTCTGTGGGTGTTGTGAATTTACTAAACAGCATCATGGATTGTTCTCAACATTTCACATCAATTTCCTCAATGTCTAACTTTTTTTTTTTCTGAGAGAGAGAGAGAGAGGGAGAGTTTTTTTCATATATTGTTTGTTATCGGCTACATCAGTAGAACCTTCTTGGGCAGTATGTTATGTTTTATGTAAAAAATTAAATAGCGCAAAGGTTAGACAAAGGACAAAGGACAGAACATGTAGACAGGACAAGCGCTTGTCCTGTCTACATGTTCTGTCCTTTGTCCTTTGTCTAACCTTTGCGCTATTTAATTTTTACATCATGCATATCCAACTAGCCCACCTCAATATCTTAGTATGTTATGTTTTCCAAGCCAAAGGAAGCGCAATGCTCTATGTCCTGTAGACACACAAAAGTCCCCCTAAATTTTCTTTACAGTGCTTCAAATTTCTCCAATCACGTTTTTTTTTGTTTTTTTTTGCAGCGTTTGCGTTTTGGAAATATTTCAATGCTTTAATAAAGTTTCTTTTTTTTTGGGGGGGGGGGGTGGTATGGAACCATATTTCGGAATGCTCAAGCCGCGGCAAGTGATAGGATATAATTATATAAATATATATGTATATGAAAACCGTGCCAACACTAATTGCTGCTTGAATAAAGCATGTGCCAACACTGCCTGTTACACCGTGTTACACTTTGGCTAAAATTATCGTCGATGGGAACTGTTTCACTCGTTATGTGTGGTGCACATGATATTCATTAAACAGTAGACCCTTTTTCAAAAGTGCGCGCCATCTGGTAGCGGCTGACTCAATTATCCCAGTTCGCCATTGTTGGGACACGCACTCTGATCGCGTATTGGACACGAGGGCTACGTCAGCATTCGCGTTGCGTTCGGCGAGGACTCGGATCCAATCACACGTTTCGGGCCCCAAAAATGGCGACCGCCAATGTTGCTCGATGAACTTTTGATGAAGGGTCTGTTGCACTAACACTGTATAGCACTGCAACCTTTTTTTTCTCTCTTTCTTTTGCATTCCCAGACGTTGATGTGTTTTGTTCTGTTTCTGTCTGGTGATGACGAGGACCGAGTTCTGTTCCCTGCTTGTTGATTGTTCTACTGAACCATGTTGATAGTGCTATCTGTATACGGTATACCACTTGCAGTGCATTCATTGTAAACCCCCGCAGTGTATGTTTCGAAGCTGGGGTTCATTTTGAAGCGAAGCATTTTTTGCTGGTCGACTCAACGCATCCCCGGAAACTCCCCAGTGCAGAACATAGGGGTGCTAGTGTCAGTCTACAACCTGGCTGGAGACGGATTTTTTTTTTTTTTTTTGAATGTTTTAATGATTTTAGTAGCTATACGCTTCCAAACGAAATCGGAAGCAGAGTAAACTCAATTTTCGTAGATACAATAGTAAGGGTGCAGGCGAGCTGGTGGATGTTAACCATGTTGAATATACCTGAGACTGGGGTAGAAAAACATAAAAGTCGAAGAAACAGAACGGGACAGGACGACGTCTTTGAAAAACATAAAAGTCGAAGAAACAGAACGGGACAGGACGACGTCTTGAGACGTCGTCCTGTCCCGTTCTGTTTCTTCGACTTTTATGTTTTTCTACCCCAGTCTCAGGTATATTCAACATGGTCAATTTTCGTATTTAAGTTAAACTTGATTTTTTGATTTTGTTTTATTTAATTGTCACGGCGTTCATCATCACCTTTGTGCATTTTCTGTCACCGAGTAAGCGCAGTCAATGCGCGGCGAACGGTGCGCTTCTTTTCGTGTGTGACTAATTTAGCTGGTGATATCAGACTTTCGGGTGGCGGAGAAAAGCTCACCGGAGAAAAGCTCACCGGAGAAAAGCTCACCGGAGATAAGCTCACCGGAGAAAAGCTCACCGTAAAACCGGCAGATGCGGAGAAAAGCTCACCGATATTTTTTTAGCTTAACTTGATTCTGCGTAAAACGTGGCAATTTAACACAATTCGCATTCGTCACTTCATTAAAAATATGTCCTCGTTTTTGTAATATTATTGAGGTTCATTGGGCATATTTACTAATTCCTCAGAAATTAGTAATCACCCATTCTGTAAATTAATGAAGGCGCAAGTATAAAATCAGAACATCGTACACCAGCAAAAAAGGCAACAATTTATTGACAGCTGAGGGTGCGCCGTCGGGAGCTCTGTCAGATAAAGAGGTTTGTTTTTTTTGCGAGCTAATATGAATAGCGGTGTGTGAATCGCTTGAGGTCCAAATATTGTGTACTGCCTAATAGATAAGTAGGTGTTTGTTGTTGTAATCAGTGTCCGCTGCGCTGTTTTCTTTCTGTTAATTTCACTAACAAAACTTTAGTTGCGAGAACAGCTTCGTCGTGTCGTGTTTGTTGTCGTCACTCCGTAGTCGTCGTTTGAGCGGTTTTCATCATGTATAACGTATGCCAACTCGCCCAATTCGCTACCTACATTACAAATGACTAGTTATATAGCTCACGAATAACAACGGAGACGGTGTGCACCTCTGAAGGTCATGGGTGGCGCACCGTAGAAGGACACTATCACACAAAGGGAACATGTGGAAACACCAGCACGGACGGCCAGAAAGCGTGCGCATGTCCGTGGAAGAAAGAAGCCTCGATATCCTATTGACTGTTTTATCCTTTTTTGAAATTTTAACAAAAGCTTCAAAGAGAATTTCAGGCACCGCGGTGTTGCGCGTGCACCTTTGAATATTCGGCATTTACACCTTTGATTTTTAGGCTTTAGGCAGTCATCATTACGTTTTTTTTACTTTTTCCTGTTTACTTTTTCCGCAAAAAACACTGGCCCGCAATTATTAATTTGGGAGCAATATACCCATTAAGCTTAACAAATATTACAAAAGAGGACATTTTATTTTTTACAAAGCTGACGAATTTTAATGATAATAAATTTATATATGTTACC